CCAGTAGTTCTAAAGGAGATGAAGTGGAGGAGGTGCAAAATATTGATCAAGATGATAATCTTAATGCACTTGCGCAACAACAACTATATAGCATTGCAACAAGTAGAGAGAAAAGAGTGATCAACCAACCACAAAGGTTTGCAAACGTAGTTGGTGGGAATCTTCTCGGATATACAAATCCCGTGGGATTTGCTTTGGCAATTGCAGAGACCGTTGAGGCGTTTGAGTGTTATAGCAATCCAGAAGCTATTTAGAGTATAAAACCAAATCGATGGATTAGTGTTATGGCTAAAGAGATTGAGTCTCTTAATAAGTTTAGGCGTTGCCTAGCCTTGGTTGATGTGTGTGATAATGAATAGAGCCCTCGTGAGGGCCGAGGGCAAGGTAGAGAGACGTTGTTCCCTTTAATGAAGAGAAATCAAGCCAAGGGGAAGATTTGTTATTTTGTGGCTTGAATTATTTCTTTGTATTTTTAGGAAACCCATAATCCCTATAGATTTAGGAAAACTCATGGTCCTAATAGATTTGGGAAAGAAAAACCTATAGTTCTTGTCAAATTGAAAAACCTTTCTCTTTTAGGTTTGAGACTATTTTGGATCTATACGTAGGGGTTGTAGTTGGGATTGTATAAATTGTATTGTGCTTTTCTTCTAATTCATAGTAGAAAACTCTCTTGCTTTTGCCTCGAAGATTAGGCTTAGCCGAACCTCGTTAAATCCTTATGTTAATTTTTCTTCTATATTTACTTTGTGTGTGATTGTGTATTAGTTAACTCACGATCTTCCGATTTCAAGTAATGGTGTATAGAGGCAGACAGCATAGCTGCTGCGTACGCAGTTGTGTTGAATATTTAAATGATTGTGCATCTCATTCTATATAGTAGTATAGTAATATTTGTTTGGCCTATCCATCTATGGGTTGTGATGAATCAAACTTATTAGAAACGTCCCGCTTTGGTCAATTCTCTAATTCCTATGCATTTTTCAGTAGCAATGACTCACTCATGACTCACCCCATCTGCATCTAATCTTGAATCCTTATTGGCTACACATATCTCAGTCTGGCAGTCAATGTTGCCACTCATTTTTATGTGTTTACTCATATTTTATTTTAGGAAAAAAAAAAGGGAAGAGATTATGTTGCAGAGGAAATAATAAATTGGAATTTTCTCAAGAGTTTATATACATTACATGCATGATATGGGCAGAATGAATTATTACATTTATTTTGTAATAACTTGTCCTTAGTCCTACCTAGCCTGTATCACATAATTAATTACCTCTGTTTTGTCACAAAACAATTGGTGCCTACACAGGAATATCCACTAGGCACTAGTTATGTTCACCGCCAATGGTTTCTATAGACAAATATTCAGTTTTTGCATTTCTGATAAGTAATTTTTGTGTCAGGCTTGTGCATAAATGATTGTGAAATAAAATACTTTCCCTGGATAACATAATTATAACTCTCTGCCATACTATATGGGATTTTTAAATATGTGATAACATATTATTTATTATCATTATTATTAATATCAAATATTTATTATAGAGTTTTTTGGTAATTGCTTTATAAATGACATAATTATATAAATATTGTTTATATTATCATTGCATAAAACTTAAAGTACTAGAAGTCTGATCGCAAATTTTCGGTCGTTCAAACGCAATTGACCAGTTGAGTTTCGACACGGTATTGCAATCTAATATTTAATATATAATGAATACTTGTCAATTATATATGTGAAACAACATAGAATTGAGGTCATAGTCTCATGTTGACCAGGTCACAAATCTAAATAATTCTACTCACTTATACTAATATATGATTGCTGTTAAGCATTGCGGAAAAGGGGCTAGGTGTGTTTAATTATTACTTGAGTGCAATTAATCATGCAACATAGACGTAAACGACAAGCAAATAATTTAAGACGTACAAATTTTAAACGTTTATTTGGCCAAATTGCATGAGCTGATTTGACCACTACGTCTACGTGGGAGCTACTTGATTCAATCCCCATATATAATCCGTGCCTTAATTATAGGGATTACTATTACTATGATGGTTTATAGTAATTAAGCGTGTTTTTGTAGCTCAAAAGAGATGATAAGTTGTTTGATATATTGATACATGTATGGCAAGAGAGAACCTACAAGGAATGTAGATTATATTTTTTATCAATCATATTATTCAAGATTGATATGGAAAATAAGAATCAAAGTAGCGAAAACATGATTTTCATTAAGAAAATTTAAAAAATTTTAAAAAATAAACACGCAAAGAAGTTAGGGGATATATTCAACACTTAATATAAATATATGGAAAAACAAATTAACCATATATATATATACAAATAAGTTTTAGCGAAGAGGATTTAACTTAACCGAACCCCTTCCGCCAACCTAACTTCATCCAACAAACTTGATATGTTTAATTTTTATCCTTAGTTGTTGTTTGATATATTAATTGGTAGAATGGAGGATAGATTGCTAGTTTGCTCATACTAAAGTTGGGGGCTTATGTTCAACTTTAGTTTTTTTTTCCTGCTTGTAAATATTTTCTCCTTGGTAATAAAATTTTCTAATTACCAAAAAAAAAACCTAATAATTTAATATGTTACAACTGATTACATATACTACCAATGTATATAATTTAGCTCCAAGTCATTGAGATTCTTGCTATTTTGCAAGCTATTACTTATAATTTACTTTACCTACAAATTTTAGTTGGAGTTGCATTTTCAAGAACATGAGAAGCTAGTCTTAATAGGAGACAGACCTAACACAAGAAACGTGATGTATGTAATTACTTGAACTTTATGTCACATCATTTGAATTGGCATTAAGTTCAAAAAATTTATATTTCCTCCGTCTCAATATAAGTGAAATTATTTGACTGTGCACGGAATTTAAGAAAATAAATAAGATTTTTAAACTTGTGGTATAAAATGAGGCAGATATATTTTGTATGGCTATAAATTATTGCATAAAAGTAAATTATTTCTAAATAGGAAAATTAGTCATTCTTTTTAGCATGGACTAAAAAAAATAAGTTCACATAAATTGAAACAGAGGGAGTATAAATTTTGTTGTGAAATAATATTACGCTAATAAACCAAACAATAATTTGATTTACAAATAATGAGTCGAAGTTTTCATGTAATAGTCCTCTTAGTTATGAACTTATGATAGACAAAGCACACTTGTTATGCGTAACAAATTGCAAAAGAATGATGGGAATTTAATACATGACATCATGATGATGATAATAAACAATAATACAATATAAATGAGTCATTTCTCACTTTCCTTGGTCACGAATTTATCAAAATTTAAGTGGATTATAGATCATCTAGAATTTTTCTAACAAAATAGACATCGACCAAGGCTTACATAATAGTCTTGTGCTATTCTGAGTGGGACGTTCAACTACCAAACCCATATAAGACATATTTTCCACATAAGAATTTTGAAATTTCTGGGGAAAAAATTCAAATGAAAATGACATTTGAAAATTAGAGTTGTGTTTGAACATGAATACAATTTGGAACTTTTTTGAATTTTTATTTTTAAGTGATTTGAAGTGAAAATTTTGAAAACCGATTTTTTAGAGTTTTTAAAATTTTTAAAAAATTTTAAAATTCAACTTCAAGTGAAATTTAAAATTTTTATAATGTAATTTTTTATGGCCAAAAGCACCCCATAACATGAATTAGGATCAAATCCATTGCACTTTTAATTAGTTTTTCTCTTTTTAAAAAGTATCTTAAGCTAGAAATGTAATCACAATTAGTTGGGAAAGAGAAGATAATTATTTTATCCCTTATTAATATTCTTAACTTTCTATGTCCATTACATATATTGTTCTAGTAAAATAGACAACCTAAAATTATAATTAAAAATTAATCTATTTTCCATAAAGGCATAAACCTTATCCACATTTTCTTGAGGTTGTACTGTTAATGATTATTCATATGGTCAGCAATCAAAGCCAATCAGTCAACGAATCTAATGAATGCTTTGTTTGAACAAGCTGGCAAGGAAATGAGTCAGCAGAGCCATCGGATCATGACACGTGTCCTGCCATCTCGTTTATGGTTTCTGAATTATTCAATTGATTTTAAATTTTAAATAGTAGAAGATGAAAATTATATTATAAAAAACAAAAAGTGAGAAATAAAGTAAATAAAACAAATGGTCGTTAATTTGGTTGGCATCCCTGGCCCTTTTAACATGTCAGCAGCAGTGCACCTTTGATCTTTTCTAATATCCACAGAAAATTTTAAATGGATAATTTTAAAATATTTTTGAAAGAGAAAGAAGCTTAACCAGAAATCTACACACTGCACCCTAAGAAAGGTAAAAGAAAAATGTACTCTACTTAATTCCATTTTGATTCATCATTTCAGCTAATTTAAAGTAGTTGGATAAGATATTATCATTCTTAATTCTTTATGAGAAAAAGTACCCTCTTATTCTGAACAATGAACATGGGGTTAAATTTAACATATTATTCTGTGAATCCAGCCGGAAGAAAACATATCAATTGAATAAATTCATCATTAATTTAACAAATTAAGTTAAATACATCTTTCAATATTTTCCACAACTCCCCACACAAAATAATAGGTAGCAACACCAATATTTATAATAATATAAAATTTACTTTAACTCGAAACTAAAATTTATTTTAATATAATTCTGAATACAAACTCTACTTAAATATAAATTAAAAAAACGAACAAATATTATATCATAAATAATTTAGATTTTCTACATTAACTTTAAATTAGATTTCCAACAATCATCCAGCAACATTGATTAATTCATTAGAACTATCGAGATTTTGTATTAATTTTTTCCCTAAACAATCAAAATAACTTTAAGCAAATTGTACATACGCAACAGTTCAGAATATTCGAGCAAAAAAGGGAAATAATAAGAGAAAAGAACAGTGAAAGAAAATAGGCTTAAAATCATGCGGCTGAATTTTTTTTTGCCGTGGAAGCGACACGTGGCTCATTCTTCTTGCGGCTATTTTTATTCCTTTTCTCTTTCTTTATAAACTGGTCCCAAATCCAATTCAATCTCCATTCCTCTTTCTACAATTCCTTCAAAACTCTTCAATTTTTACCTCTAAATCCTTTATTTTACCAAATTTCTTCAAATCAAGCCCCTTTTACTTGTCATATCATAAATTTCTGGTTGTAATTTTATAAAGATTCAAACTTTTTCCGGATTTTTCTTTGGAAATTATGGAGGTTTCAGTTATGGGAAGTTCTCAGGTAAATTTGGGTAGGAGTGATTTGGGATGTAGAGAAATTGCTAGTTTTAATTTAAATTCAAAGATATCCTCTTCTGTGAAGATTTCAAGAGTATGTATTGGCCAAAGTATTAAATGGCCTTTAAAATCTTTGAATGGATTCAGTTTGAAAGCCTCTGCTTGTTCACAAGTTGAACCAGTTATATCAGAGAATGATTCTACCAACAGAAAATCTAAGCCGGTAAGCGAACTGTTCTTGTTTTTTTCTTTTTCTTTTTTTCACTTGATTCTAGTTTATTACTATTATTATTTCATTTGTATGGTAAAAAAAAGATTGGTAAATTTGAGCTTCTCAGAAAATATGTTAATTGTTTTGTTTTGCTGTAAAATTTGGGGCTTTGTAGCTATAATAACAAGAACAACAAAAAAAAACTAGTGTAAAATCTGGGTAGTTAGTAAGTTACCCCTATCTTATAAAGATAGAGAGGCGGTTTCTGACGGACGCTCGGCTAAAGGAACAGTGAAGCTTTCTTGCTATAAATTATGGTGAAAAAGGGGCTTAGAATGCTTTGAACTTTGTGTTGTTTACCAAAAAAACGCTGTTTTTTTGTTACGTAACATTCAACTTTGTGGTTTTTCTTTTTTTTGTTACATAAAAATAATTTTACTATGCTTAGTTATCACAATAATCACTTTGATCATATTTTACAAACCTTTTACCTAAAAAGTCTATTTTGTCGTTGACATTATAAATATTCTCATTTATGTAATACCTTCTATATAATATAATATACTTTTACCCAGATATTTTGCTTATAATTAAAATAATTTATTATTGTTTTATTTATTATTTTTATAATATATTTGTATATTTAATTTTTTCTTAATATTAATTTTCAAGATATATGAGTAGCATAATTAAATTTGTCAATAACATTACCGTGAATAAATCTCAAGTTCACGTTCTTAATCATGCTTAATGAAATATGTTTAATGAAAATTAAAAAATCAAACTCATTGATTTATCAGCCAAGCCATACACATTAATTTAATAAATAAAATACGCACATTTAGCAAAATGACACATCAGATTAATACTTTCAAATATATAATATTAACAGATAAAGCTTTAAAAAACTTAATATTAAACACATATATCTTTGAAGCTTTTTTTAAAATTTTATTGATTATAAAAAACTATCATTTGTTAAACAAATATGTTTTTATTATTTTAAATAAATATTAAAAAATAAATATTTTTTTTATCATTCTTATATTTAAAATATGTTCATGTTTGAATATGATTAAACAAATTGAGTGCCATGAAAAAATTAAATGTATGGATATATTATAAAAATAATAAATAAAATAATTTAAATTTATTTTAATTATAAGTAAAATACCTAAATAAAAATTATATAGTATATAATATAGAAGGTATTACATAAATGAGAGGATTTATAATGTCAAGGACATAATAGACTTTTCAAATAAAAGTATTATAAAATCTGTCCAAGGTGACTTTTGTGATAAATAGAGAAAAGTAAAATAATTTTTGTGTGACAGAAGAAAGAAAAGTGACTTTTGAGTAATGAACACAAAGTTGAATGATTTTTACGTAACAAAAAGAAGAAAAATAACTTTTGCGTAATGAACACAAAGTTGAATGATTTTTACGTAACAAAAAGAAGAAAAATAACTTTTGCGTAATGAACACAAAGTTGAATGATTTTTACGTAACAAAAAGAAGAAAAATAACTTTTGCGTAATGAACACAAAGTTGAATGATTTTTACGTAACAAAAAGAAGAAAAATAACTTTTGCGTAATGAACACAAAGTTGAATGATTTTTACGTAACAAAAAGAAGAAAAATAACTTTTGCGTAATGAACACAAAGTTGAATGATTTTTACGTAACAAAAAGAAGAAAAATAACTTTTGCGTAATGAACACAAAGTTGAATGACCACCCATAAAATTTACTCAAATTTTAGAGAGTAACTTGTATCCTGCGGTGTTTTTGCCAGTCTAATCAAGCTAATGGAGATTGCATTGTTTCCTTAATCAATAAATATGGTTTCTTATGGTTTGAATTGTCCTAGGCTTTGTTTATAAATTTGTGAATACAACATTCAGCATTGCTTGGTAAAGCATTTAGCTAGAAATATTGAGTGCCTTCTGCAGTACCATGATGAGTGCATTGTTTGCATTTAGGTTAGTTATAAGGGGCCACTTTTGTTTCTTAGGAGCTTAGCTAGATACTGTTGAAGATAATTCTGAGCATGACTTGTTTAAAATCTCAAGTAGTTCAACAGTTAGGAATGTCAATAGACCAATGTATGACAATCAGCATATCAACATTGTATTTGCTGATGATTTTGTAAGCCAATGCCTATTTTTCAGGAGAATTTCTTCTTGCCTTGTATTTTCTTGTAATTGTGAATTCTGCATGATCTATAGCAGTTTATTAAAAGACATCGCTTGGTCGCTTAAAGCGATGAAGCCATGCAAGTGAAAAGTTATTGCTTCATTAGTGAAGGTATGTGCTTCAGAGAAGTGTGCGCTTCAAACAACAACGGAAAAGTGATCTTAACGAGAAGTGATCAGTCTTTTTGAATATCATTTTTGAGAAGTTGGATTAGTATCAACATTATTGTGCATTGGATGCTAAAATTGGTTATGCTAATTGCGATTTTATTATTATAATACTAAATCCACGTATGTTTGATATTCTTTAATTTCGTAAATTGTGCGCTTCACTTCCCGCTTTTGCTTCAAGCCCGATGTACCTTGTCGTTGTTTTTGTGCACTTTTTGCTTTTGAAAACACTGTTCTATTGCTATATTGACATTTCTTGCTTTCGCAGAATGATGGCGTGAAACTATTTGTTGGGTTGCCACTTGATGCTGTTTCAAGTACTAATACGGTAAACCATGCTAGAGCAATTGCAGCTGGATTAAAAGCGTTGAAGTTACTCGGTGTAGATGGCATAGAACTCCCAGTTTGGTGGGGGGTTGTTGAGAAGGAAACCAGGGGAAAGTATGACTGGACAGGCTACCTTGCACTTGCTGAAATGATCCAAAAACTGGATCTTAAGCTTCATGTCTCACTTTGCTTCCACGCGTCAGAGGAACCGAAAATCCCACTTCCAGAATGGGTTTCTCGGATTGGTGAATCTGACCCTAGTATCTTCTTTAAGGACCGTTCAGGACAACACTATAAAGATTGTCTCTCGTTCGCGGTTACTGATGTTCCTGTTCTTGATGGAAAGACTCCAGTTCAAGTGTACAAAGAGTTCTGTGAGAGTTTCAAGGATGCTTTTTCCCCATTCATGGATTCCACAATCACGGTATGAATTGTTCAGTTTAACGTTCAATCTTTTGAGCATTATAGTTACATCGGATTTAACTCACTTACATTGAGATTGTAAAGAATTTATACTAGTAGTATATTTTAACCTGTTGCCATTGTAGTAAGTTACCTGATATTTTGTCAGTGTTACTAATCTCACTTCTATGAATGATTGCCTATAGTAGTTATCGTTTAAGTGACCTATATAGAAGTCAAAAATCATCAGTGGCTAAATTTTGTCATCTTTCAGGGAATTTCCTTGGGTCTAGGACCAGAAGGCGAGCTTCGCTATCCTTCTCATCACAATCCATCCAAAATGAACAATCATCAGGGAGCTGGTGAATTCCAGTGTTATGACGAATACATGTTGAATTCTCTCAAACAGTATGCTGAAAATAGCGGGAATCCTCTATGGGGACTTGGCGGTCCACACAACGCCCCTGGATATGATCAATCACCTATGACAAGCAACTTCTTCAAGGAGCATGGAGGATCTTGGGAGACGACTTATGGTGACTTTTTCCTTTCTTGGTACTCAGAGCAGCTGATTTCACATGGAAACCGACTTCTTTCTCTTGCCTCTGAAATTTTCAATGACGTTCCGATCTCAATTTGTGGTAAAGTTCCGCTTGTGCACTCTTGGTACAGAACCCAATCCCACCCTAGCGAGCTAACAGCAGGTTTCTATAACACTACCAACAGAGATGGTTATGAAGCAGTAGTTGAGATGTTCGCAAAGCATTCGTGCCAAATTATCTTGCCCGGGATGGATCTCTCGGACCAGCACCAGCCAAATGAATCCCTTTCGAGCCCAGAGTTATTGCTTGCTCAAATCGCAGCATCTTGCAGAAGTCACGGAGTGGAAATCTTGGGGCAAAACTCAATGGTTGCTAATGCCTCAAATGGTTTTGAACAGATAAAGAAGAACTTGTCAGGTGAAAAAGAAGTCATGAGCTTGTTCACATATCAAAGAATGGGTGCTGATTTCTTTTCTCCTGAACATTTCCCTTCATTTACTCAATTCGTTCGGAGCCTTAATCAACCAGAATTGGATTCAGATGATCAGCCGCTGAAACAGGAAGAACGTGTTGAATCGCTTACTGGTAATATTCTCCAGAAGCAAACAGCTTAGGTTCAGATTCTATGTATATATTTGGACATCACCTTATGTATATCACTTAGAAATTCTAGTGCTAGTATTACACATTTGTTAGTGATAAGCTGGTTGTAGCTGAAACCTGTTTATCTGTTATATATTTATTATAATAACTAGTATGAGAAAGTTCCTTGGCATGAATTATGAAAATTTTGGTTGTCTTGACTCTTGAGCTAGTAGAGCAAAATGAGCCTCAGGATATGATTTGTCTCTCTGCAAATATTCCCTTCTGGATTATGAATTTTATTTTGAAAGCTCATGAATTACAAGGGTGATTGGTTTTCGTATTTTGCGGTTAAAAGGTAGTATTCTGAATTCTGGAACAAAATAGGACCACTTAATAATATCTCTTCTTTTTCCTCAGTTGTATGAGCCTAAGTAATTTGTTTAACACAGGCAGTGAAATCTAAAGCCAGCATTGTTCTGGTTTTTTTTACAAACTTTTTCCTATATCCACGATTTGGATTTTACGTCGTGAATTAAAAAAATGACTAGGTTCAGAGAACTCGTAACGGTTTGAAATAGATTGATATTATTTCTTTCAAATCAGGCAAATGATTCAAACTAAATTGCTCCCAAGAATTGTCATGTACCCAAAGATGGACAAAGCGATATCTTAGAATCTCTGATTTTCTACATAAATGACATTCCTGACAAAAAACTGGGCCCAAGTTTTAATAACACAATCCCACCAAGTAAGAAACCAGGGGCTAAGCTACAATATTAGGTTTCAAATAACTCAATATTTTTTACTTAGATGGTATATTATATTAGAATATTTATTAATTATGTATTAATATATAATTATAAATCTAATAACTAAAACGAGCTATATGCTTAATACTACCTTCGTCATTTTTACTTGTTTACTATGGACTTTGCACAACCCTTAAAAAATAATAAATGAAGTGCATAATTTACCATGATACACATATTAACTGATGTTTATTTTTAATTAATTTAAAAAAATAATTTAAAATAAGTAATTAATATTATGAGTATAACAGAAAAAAAAGTTGTCTATATTGTTATGCTAAAAGTGACAAGTAAAAATGAAAATCTATTTTTAGAATAAAAAACAAACAAAAGTGAACCGAGAAAATTCATAAACTTCGATTCACATATAATTACGATAATGTTTCTCTTTGCTTTGAAGATAACGAAAACTGTACAGACAAGAAATAGGTATCTGTAACAGTGGCCACAGGCCAAAATATAGAGTAACATCAGACAGATAAGAAACCTTGTGATTTGTGAACATCGAAAAAAACCGTACATTTGGCAACATATGGCGTGTGCACTTATCTATTTGTTTATTCAAATTCCGACACTATATGTGATTGAATCTTCACCAAGAAGAAAACTATACAATGGTTTAAAATATATATATATANCAAAATAACTGATGAAATACAAAATACTCAGCCTTAAAATGTAGATGAAATGATAGAGTTGTCGAGTCCGGGAACAGGATTTTCGGGTACGATAATGATGAGATCAAAAAGCGAGAAAGCAAAACTGTATTAAAATTCTTTATAGAATGTAGTGTAAGTTAGCCTGAAAATTCATGTCCCTTACAATGATCATTGAGCTTATTATTTATAGTTATGAAGAAGGTATTAGGGTCGTGCCATTCTTTAATGTCAATTATGAGGAGCATTGATGAAGACGTAACGGTGAACATAAATGCCAAATTCTCTGTAACGGGCCGTTGCTCTTAATGCTATGGAATATTCCTCATTGAATGCTACCGGGCGCAGAGTATTCAATGCCTTCATGAACGTTATCTTTTCCGGTGACACACGAGATAGCTGCGTCCGATTTTTCGTCCTCCCGGCTTAGGTTCCACGTGTCCCCTTCTTGGGTGGCCACATGCCATAACATATTTTACCCAATACAGATAGTCCTCCAGTGACATAACTTTGTGTTACCGGAAAGTTGGTAGAAGCACTCTTTTGGCGGGAATTACTATAATTCCTTTTGAAGGCCACTGACGGTTGATTAGACGTCTGTCACTCCGTATTTAATGCCCCGAACACGCGTCTTCCCATGATTTAACACGTTTTTTACCGGTTATCGAGGTAATCTTAGCCAAGGATTTAGCCCCCAAAATTTTACTTATACGTATGAACTTGCCCCCTTGTATTCCAACTTTTTTCATCTTATTTCGCCTACTGAGTCTTCATCTTCTTCAAACAGAAAAAATCCTTTCTCTTTTTCGATGGTTTCTTCCTCAAAACGTACTAGTTCTTCAAAAGGCAAAAACAAAACTGACGACTTTGTCGCTCCAACCGTAGACTCCATCATACCAAAAAGACTCAATACCGCAAAGGATTTTGAGGAGAAATTCCTTTCTGCTAATGCTTGTACATGAGCTGTTAGAAGGTACCCTTTTTCCATTCGTCCTTCCAGTATTCCGCTGTGAAGAAAGGTTGCCGTTGCCATGAATTGGATATCATCGCTCCCGATCTATCGAAGCGAGTGACCCTTCCCAAGGAAGGTTTTACTACTTTTACACATATCCTTTACTTTGGGTGCGTTTTCTTTGAGTGGAGAGCTTGATTCCATGATTGCATAATTTTGCCTCCGCTATCAGGTGTGTTTAGCACAGGTAAGTCGTTCTGTGTGAAGGATGGTTGCCTGCCTTCGACGTTTGTGACAAGAAACTGTAGAAGAGTTAACATTAGCTCACATGATAAATCTCTACTCCCCAAAGATTTTTCGGGG